CTAACCTGGTCACAACAATGAATTTAGCCCGAGCCTTCGAGCGCAAACTACAGATTAGCAGAGGACCGTCCAGCTTGGGACGCCCAACAACGACTTGGACAAACCCGAAGCCTGCTGGAGGAGGATCTTTGCTGGCAGCCAACAGGGAACCACAGCCTTTCACCAGTAACCCTCCCCGATCTGCAACCAACATAGGGAGCAGCACGACGGCACCTCCCATCAGACGCCTATCCAGAGCCGAGATGGCAGAACGCCGAGCCAAGGGCCAATGCTTCAACTGTGACGAATTGTACTCTGCCGGCCACCGCTGCAAGCGGTTGTTCTGCCTCCTGGTAGACGAACTGGAGGAGGAACAAGAGGAGCAGACAACTCTAGAACCCGAGATCTCCCTTCATGCCATCACCGGAATACAAAACTCTCAAACCATGCAGCTGTAGGCCCAAGTAGCAGGAAAACAAGTACGGGTTCTGGTGGACTCGGGGAGCACACATAATTTCATCAGCAAGCAAGCAACGCTCCAACTGAAACTACCGGTGGAAGACAGACCACGGCTTCAGGTAGCCGTAGCAAATGGGGAGAGAGTTCACAGCCCAGGGATCTGCTGAAACATCCAAATACAAGTGGATTCTGAACCATTCCTCACTGATCTGTTTGTATTGCCCCTAGACGAGTTTGATATAGTATTGGGAATCAAGTGGCCCATCACCCTCGGCCCTATCCTATGGGACTTCAGTGCCTTGACCATGACGTTTAACCTACATGGAAAACAAGTCACCTGGAAAGGGACCAAGATGAGAGCAAAAAGACCACAAGTACATACTCTCCATGGCGACGCCTTACACACTGCCGAGATGGAGAAACTTCTGGCCGATTTCCCAGACGTGTTCTTAGAACCCAAGGGCCTTCCCCCTGTCCGATCGTGTGACCATCGAATACCATTAATGCCAGGGACTGGACCCGTGGTCGTTCGGCTGTACCGCTACCCACACCTTCAGAAGGATGAGATAGAGAACTAGTGTACAGAAATGCTGAAGCAGGGTATTATCCGCCCAAGCCGCTCCCCATTCTCTTCGCCAATCTTGCTAGTGCCAAAACAGGACAGCACCTGGAGCTTCTATGTAGACTATCGGGAGCTCAACAACAGGACCGTCAAGGACAAGTTTCCGATCCCCGTGGTGGACGAACTGCTAGATGAGCTCCACGGGTCTCAATATTTCTCTAAGCTGGATCTCAGGTCAGGCTACTTCCAGGTTCGAATGGCCCTAGAAGATGTGAAGAAAACAGCCTTCCGAACGCATCACGACCACTTTGAATTCTTGGTCATGCCTTTTGGTCTCACAAACGCTCCATCCACATTTCAGGCCTTGATGAACGAGGTATTTAGACCCCACCTCCGCAGGTTCGTCCTAGTATTTTTTGACAACATCCTGATTTACAGTGCGTCGTGGGTGGAGCACGTTCAACACCTACGAACAGTTCTGGAGCTGCTTCGCCAACATAAGCTCTTCCTAAAACGAACCAAGTGTTCCTTCGGAGAGCAACAGGTCCTTTATCTAGGACATATAATCAACAAGGAAGGAGTCTCGGTAGATGACTCCAAGATTCAGGCCATTCGGGAGTGGCCCAAGCCTCAATCCACTAGGGCCCTCCGCGGGTTCTTAGGTCTCACGGGATACTACCGCAAGTTTGTAAGAGACTACGGACTCCTGGCTGCCCCATTAACCAAGTTGTTGAAGAAGAATGCATTCCAATGGGATGAAGCAGCGAACGCCGCCTTCACAAACTTAAGAAAGGCACTCTCCTCTACCCCCGTGCTGCAGCTACCAAACTTTAATCAGGAGTTTACGGTTGAGTGTGATGCTTCTGGCATAGACACCGGCATAGTGCTGCAGCAACAAGAGCACCCCATAGCCTTCTTTAGCTGCAAGCTAGCAGACCGGCACCTAAAGCTACCCGCCGACGAGCGTGAATTAATTGGGCTTGCCAAGGCCGTCCAACACTGGAGGCCATATTTGTGGGGCAGACCTTTCGTCATCAAGACAGACCATTACAGCCTCAAGTACCTTCTAGAGCAGCGGCTTACTACTCCACCCCAGCAACACTGGGCAAGTAAACTGCTAGGGTTTGACTTCTGCGTAGACCACAAGGCAGGGGCCTCAAACCGGGCCGCCGATGCACTATCTAGGCGTGATGAAGACACGGTCCACCTTTGCGCGATCTCCCAGCCCCGCGTTACCCTATTGGAGAACCTAAGGAGCGTACTGCCCCAATCACCAACTTGGAGGGATTGGGTGCAAGAATTACAGGCAGGTACAACCAGCCCGAACTGGTCTATCCATGAGGGACTTGTGCTGTACAAAGGGAGGGTATATCTCCCAACAAACTGCCCATTGATTCCAGCCATCATCACCAGCATCCATAACGCCACCCACGAAGGGGTTCAGAAGACATTGCACCGCGTCTGCGCCGATTTCCATTGGTATGGTATGCGCAGCTCAGTTAGGGATTTCATCCAGAACTGCTCTATCTCCAAACACAGATCTGGGCCGATATCTCCATGGACTTCATTGAAGGCTTGCCTAAAGTCGGAGGGAAATCAGTCTTATTCGTGGTGGTGGACTGCTTCTCCAAGTATGCCCATTTCATCCCGTTGTCCCACCCATACAGTGCAGTCTCGGTGGCCCACGCCTTCTTCACACACATCTTCCGCCTACATGGGCTGCCAGAGTCCATCGTCAGCGACAGGGATGCATCTTCACCAGCACCTTTTAGAAGGAGCTGTTCTGATTATAGGGCACGACCCTGGCTTTCTCATCCGCCTACCACCCACAAACAGACGGGCAAACAGAGGTTGTCAACCGGACCATAGAGATGTACCTCCGCTGTTTCGTAGGGGACCAACCACGACGCTGGGTAGATTGGCTTCCTTGGGCCGAATACTACTACAACATGTCCTACCACTCCTCCCTTGGCATGACCCCCTTTCGGGTTGTGTATGGCAAAGACCCTCCTCGTCTTTTATCATACGAACCAGGTTCCACACGGTTGGAAGAAGTAGAACATAGTCTCCAAGACCACGACGCCCTCCTGGCCGAAGTCTCCCTATGCTTGTAGCAGGCACAGGCGCGTATGAAGCAAACCTATGATCAGCACCGCCGCGAAGTCACCTTCGAGCCAGGTCAGTTCATTTGGCTGAAGCTCCAACCGTACCGCCAACTCTCCCTCAGGCGGCGAGGCCCCCCCAAACTGGCCCCAAGATTTTACGGGCCCTTCAAGGTTCTCCGGCAGGTCGGGAAGGTTGCCTATCAACTCAAGCCACTAGAGCACAGCAGAATCCATGACATCTTCCATGTGTCCCTATTGAAGCCTTTTACAGGGACTCCCCCTGAGCACGTGCCTTCTCTACCCCCTCTAAAGGATGGTAGACCCATCCTCCACTCTCGAGCTCTTGTCCGGTCGCGCATCAATCAGGGTACCTTCGAGGTTCTCGTAGAATGGGAAGGACTACCCTCAGCGGAGGCCACCTGGATTCCCTGGACCGACCTTCACAGTGCCTACCCAGCTCTCGAGCTTGAGGACAAGCTCGTTGTCCAGG